CAGAGAAGGAGACTCCACAGCCTCCCTGGGCAGCCTGGGCCAGGGCTCCGTCACCCTCAGAGGGAAGAAGTTCTTCCCCGTGTTCAGCTGGAGCTTCCTCTGCTTCAGTTTGTGCCCGTTGGCCCTTGTCCTGTCGCTGGGCACCACTGAAAAGAGTCTGGCCCCGTCCTCCTGACACTCACCCTTGAGATATTTCGAGGCATTTATAAGGTCCGCTCTCATCCTTCTCCAGGCTAAACAAGCCCAGCTCCCTCAGCCTTTCCTCCTAGGAGAGATGCTCCAGTCCCCTCATCATCCTTCAGAGGTCTTTTACAATCTTAATTATATTGTTACTTTATGAATGGTAGGAGTCATTTCAGGTAACTCTGACTCTTTTATGTATTTATATGTATGTTTGTATATATAAAATATATGCGGAAGAAGCTCAGAGGAAGGACTGAGGGAGAGCCACCTCTGAACGTCCCATTTCCAAGTAGTAAAGTTACTGCCTCAGGAGAGGCAACACCTTATTTCAGACCCGTGTCCTGAATCGTACACACGATGGATCTGATCAAGTCATTTTTCTTTTTGGTGCATCTCCTACACACATCTGCTACCTCCAGTTTGGGGAATTCAGCCTCGCTTTCCTTTTGAAGTGAAAGAACCTGAAGTGTTTCATTTGGGATGGAAGCAGAGGCATTTTTACCTTGTAGTTTTGGTAAGAACAGAAAAAGGTAGATTAAGCTTGAGCCATGGTTTTCTTTCCTTTTTCGCTTTGGCGGCCAAATCGCAAACCCAGTTATTCACACAGCCGTATTTCTAGCTGCTTGTGATTTGTGGAAAGAGCTGAGAGATATTTTACGAGATAAATCTCACTACTGTGGCTGACGTCCAGCTTTAGTCAAAGCGTTATGTCTGCATAAAATTCCCCTGCCATTCCAGCTAGATATGATATTCCTCTCTGCTTTTTTCAAACCAGGAGCCTGCATAGCTGCAGACGATGGGACTGCTGGGGAATTCTACCCTACTTGTGGGCAAAGGGGCTGCTGATGTTTCGCAGCAGCTTTCTGGGGGCTGATTATATATACTCTAAAAGGAAAACAGGAAAAAAGAGTATGGCAGTTATGAAAAAAAGAAAATTAAACATGTGTAGAGTACAATTATTTTCCCGTGTTTTACCAAAAGCCACAGATTTATTTTGTTAGACAGGCTGCAGTTGTGGTATCTTCAGTAGCATTACCTGGACGCTCAGGTACCGCAGCAGTTGATGTGGGATAGTGCTGGGATAGTTTTTTGGAGACTATTATTGCAATTGATTGGATAAAGTGCTCTTATTAAGCAGGTGGTGTGAGGATGTTGTCATGGTCCCACCTGTAGATGCTGAAGGAGGAAGAACATATAGGCCAGCAGTGAGAGACAACCCCTTTAAGATGTGAAGCAACTGAGAAGCTGAATTTCCAGTCAGTGTGATATGGTGCTTCCAGATCTCACTCTGATGCATCCCGGGGAAGGCAGTTGAGGTTTGCGTATCAGGCAGGTGCTTTCAGTTCATGCAGCCAGGCTTATTAAGGGAGTAGCCACAAGAGGGAAGAAAAGGCAGTGATATAACTCATGCCTTGGACCGCTGCTAAAAGGAGCCAGTGTTACAGGGTGAGGAATTAAGTCGGATTTTTCTTGTGTTGTTTGGATCTCTGCTCTGGGACTTGGTTGTGTGAACTGATGGAAACTAAAGTTCAGTAGGCTCCATAAGTCAGTGTATGGTATCGTTATGAATGTCTCCTAGCCTTAAGAATGCATCAGCCTGGCTTTCTTCTTTCACTTTAAAGGCTTCTGCCCTGTCTGGACCAGTATCTGTAGGCTTTTTCAGACAGCAGGGTCTCCTCACAATCTTGGAGTAGCTCAGGGTGATTGCTTACAGTCCCACACACGAACAGTAGTTCGCTAAGTATGGTGTAAACTGGTTGATAAGTGATATAATGCTTGCAGCCTGGAATAGAGCTGTAGCCGGTGCATCAGTTGTTTCTCGTCTCAGGTACAGCCTCAGCCTCTTGGCTGCCTTGATGTCCGTTTGTACCACACCGCGCTCTAGTCCTTTGAGAATTATTTGTTTGCCCTCGTCTCACTTTTTTCATTCTGCTCCTTCCAATGGCACTTTCTTTCTTCAGTGGATTGTAGTAAAACAAAGGTTTCTGCCCTTTGACCTGGTCCCTGCCTTCTGCCATGTGATGTGCACTGGCAGCCCAGAAAGCCAACCGTATCCTGGGCTGCATCAAGAGCAGCGTGGCCAGCAGGGCAAGGGAGGGGATTCTGCCCCTTTACTCCGCTCTCGTGAGACCCCACCTGGAGTCCTGCATCCAGCTCTGGAACCCCCAACATAGGAAGGACATGGATGTGTTGGAGTGGGTCCAGAGGAGAGCCACGCAGATCATCAGGGGGCTGGAGTGCCACTG